GGCTGCCTAAATTTGATTGATAGTCATAACTAGAGTAGGCCTTTTAAATCAATGGGACTTACATACAGATAATTGACCATTCAGCAATTGATTCAATGTGTCTACTTTAGTTGAGACTAGCAACTGGATTTAGGCCACAGAATACCAATTTATTTTGAGATGTACTCCAAATTAATAGTTGTGTCCAAAGGGTGCTCACATCCAACCTCAGCAAGCCAGACTTCCAGACCTGGCAGTTATTGGTCAGTTAAAAAGAGAGATGATTTCAGTTCAGGGGTGGACATCTTGTGGTCATCTAGATGTTATTGGATTGCAACTCCCATCAACACTAGTCTGCATAACCAATGATGAAGGCTAATGGAAGTTGTAGTCCAACATCTGGAAAGTCATGAACTGACCATCCCTGCTTTGTGAACATTTGGTGAGCCCTTTTGGCAGATCTGGAGTCTATCCAGTCCGGGATCACATGTCCAGCAAGAGTGGGCAACCAGACATTTCTGAGACGGTGAACATTTTCTACACTCACTTAACCTCACCAACTTACTTTGAGGGTATGTAGCCTGATTCTTATCTTGAGGTGTGTTTAATTTAGTATTTGTGGACAAGGGAGCCCTTGACCCCTATCCTGTGCTTCCTGTTCTTTTTCTCTCTGACTTGTTCCTCTTACTGATTCATAAGAGGATCTTTCCTTCAGTGACAGCCTGGCCATTGGCCTCAGTGACCTTGGATGAATTTTTGTCAACATCTCTTTTGAAATCAAATCTGCATTGTTTATTACATCATGCCTGTCTTTCTACATGATACAAAGAACATTGAGAAGCATTTTCAGTAGTTTTGTTGGAACACATTGGACAACAGGTTTGTTAATTTAGGGGTGCTGTGTTTGAGTTAACTTTGAGTAAGCATAACTTTGAGTAATGCACACTCAAATGACTATGAGAAAGTAGTGAAGTTAACATTAAAATTTGCTTACTCAGCCTGCTCATTATTTCTTAGATTAATTTCTGCAGTGCGTCTCACCAGTTCTGAACCCCCATAGAATAATTTAACAGAGGGAGCTTGTGGATATATTTGTAGAAAGAAACTGTGTGTCTTCTCCCTCTGTAAAGTTATTGCTCTGGCTGCTGCTGCTGTTGTTGCTGCTGCTATCTCCCTATTGTTATTGTCATTATTTCCTATTATTACTACTACTACCCCACCTGTGTACATAGTAATAAGATACTCTCAAACTGATTCAAAGTTATGGTGATCCTCCTAGATTTTTCTTTGTATAAAATAGAAGTAGTTTACCAGTTGCTCCTTCTAGCGCCAGTCTGTAACAATGCAATTTGCTGATATTTGTAAACCTATCAGCCATCCACACTTCAGCCTATCTTGACTAGTTTCTCTTCTGGAAAGCACAATAGGATTTCAAACTTCTAGCTTCTGGCTCTGCAACCAGGTGCTCCAACTCATTGTACTATGCCATCTTATGTGTATATAGCACTTTACAAAATAAGAGGAACAAGTCATATTTCAAGGAATACTTATTCCAGAAATAGGCATGGGGAAAGTAACTGAAGAAAGGGGAAAGAAATGGAAGTCAGAGAGGGTAAGGAGAAGATTTGTCTAATTATTTTAATGACAAATAAAGTCATTTAGGTGCAATAAGGTCATAAGACTAGGTGGATTTCACAGTAATTGACTGCAGCTGGCTGCTGATCCAGAGTTCACCCCTTTTTATGTTCCAGATGTAAAGATAAAGTCCATTTAATATATCTAGTATAACATATAAATAATATTGTTGTTTTCTTCTCAACTTATTGAATCAGGAGCTGGACATTAAATTAAATCTTTAATATCCTGGTGAAATAGAAATGTATAGAACATTTCAAGATTAACAACATTGGGGATTTAGTCTGACTTCTGCTTCTGTGGATGGGGTTGTCTGGATCATTTGGAGAAACAACAGAGAGCCAGTATAGTGGACAGAGTGTCAGGCTAGAACTGAGGAGACCTGGGTTTGAATCCGTCTTTAGCTGTTGAGCAAGTATCTGCGGCCAGATACCTAAACCACTGAACTAAATGGAAGAGTAGCTAAATCTATGTTTGCTTCCATAGAATAAACTGCTAATTTCAGTGGCACATATTACATGCACAGGATTTCAGCATTGATTGTGCAGTCCTATACATGCCCACTCAGATACTAGCTCCACTGACTTCAATGGAACTTAGTCCCAGGTACAGAGGTACTGGGTTATAGGCTATGTCTTCCTTATGAAAGATTACAAAATTCTTAGCACCATTTTTTTTAGTACCAAATCCCTATTCCTATTTAAGGCTCCTGTCCTTTGTGGGGGAACTGATTATACTGCTTCATTTGTTTGCCATCATTGCTTAATGAACAAGCATATCCATCAGTGGGGGAACTGATTATACTACAGTGGGGTCTCTACTTAAGAACTTAATCCGTATTGGAAGGTGGTTCTCAAGTTGAAAAGTTCTTATGTTGAATCTGCATTTCCCATAGGAATGCATTGAAAACCATTTAATCCGTATCTGCTCTTTTCCGTCCATAGAAACTACAGTGGAACCTCTGCTTAAGAACTTAATCGGTTTTGGAACGGTGTTCTTAAGTTGAAACGTTCTTAAGTTGAAGCAAAATTTCCCATAGGAATGGACTGAAAACCAATTAATCCGTTCTGGCTGGTTTTTTGTTATGTAGAGGTGCGTTCGTACACTGAAGCATTAGTTTCCATAGGAACTAATGCAAAGCTGGTTAATACGTACTCTACCACTAGGGGGAGAATTTTTTTTAACCTAAGATGACCTAAGGTTAAAAAAAGAGCAGGAAAGGTTTTTTTTCCTGTTCTTATCTTGGATTTCTGTTCTCAAGTAGAAGCAAAATTTAGCAAATGGAGCTGTTCTTAAGTTGGATTGTTCTTAAGTAGGGACGTTCTTAAGTAGAGACCCCACTGTACTTCATTTGTTTGCCGTCATTGCTTAATGAACAAGCATATCCATCATTCTCTATCACTTCCCATTATGTAATACATTCATCTTTCCTGTCTTCCATGTCAGCCATATGTCATCTTAGCCATTAGATTCCTTCCGTCATTCTCTCCATGGATCAAACTGATGTTTTATATACATATGCATGCTATGTGCCATGTAACATTATTAATTACTGTCAATTACTTACAAAAACTTTATGTCGTTTCTATTGCTTCATGTTCCTTTGGCAGTAGACAATTCAGAGCAGCCGTACAATATCTATATTCTGTGGAAAGAGAGAAAATATCTTTATTAATAATAGTAATAATAATTGTTCTAGTTATAACTGGTGCCTTAGGTGCAATACCAAAAGATCTAGAAAAACATCTTTGTCCTGTTGGCATAAATGACTTCATGATGCACCAACTACGGAAGGCTATCTAACTTAGAACAGCACGTATTTTAAGGAAATACCTTTGAATATCTGAGGTCCTTGGAAATGGCCTGATATTTGAAGAACTAAATTCAGCCAACATTTGGTGGGTTGATGATGATGATGATGATGATGGTGATGGTGATGATGACAGCAACAACAACAAGAACAGCAGCAGCATTGGATCCAGACTAAGGTTGCAAACCTGTGTCTAGTTTCCCGAGAGAAAACCCCATAAAACACAGAGATCAATACACCTGAACAGACAGATTTGGGATATGTATGCTAGTTTACTCTGTGTCCCACTGAAATCAGAGAGATGCTTAAATCAGACTGACTTTAGTAAAAACTAAATGTAACTAAGAGTAGTGGACATCTAACCCTCTGCATTTACTAACATACTCTATGAGCACATCTTATGGTGACACCAAAGAAAAGGGCACAAGGGTGTGTGTGCGCCAGTGAGCAATGGACTAGAATGGGGCCATCTGCACCATCCCAACTTTCAAACTGGGCAGGCGGACCGGAGTAAAAACTTCCCTTTTCCAGTCCACCTGTCCAGCAGTCTTTCTTCTGAGTCCCTTTGCCAGCCAATACAGGGCCGGCAAGGGAATCTCACTTCCCACTGGCCAATCAGGAGCTGGCAGGGGAATCTCTGGCAGTGGCCTATCCTCATCCCACAGGACCGCATGATTGCTGCCACATCAACCCTGGTGTTCCAAGCCCCAGGGGAGCCCAACTTGGCAGCAACAAGGGGCTCCCAGGTAAGTCTAAGCCCCCATATTTCTGTGGGAGATAAATGTAACTAAGGTTAGTATGCATCCAACCCTGTGCATTTGCAAAGATCTTATGGGGAAACCAAACCTCCAGGTGCTCGGGCTTTATATCGTTCCAGAACTGTGCAGTTTGATGAGTAGAGTGTCCACAGCATTGGAAAGATCCTGAGTCCCACTATAAGAGAAGCAAAAAGACCACCTTTTCCAAGAAGGACATTTATACATTTACTGGCATTCTCTCATTAGAATTTCCATTTACAGTAAAGTGGTGGGCAGGAAAAACAGGGGATCAACAGACACAAAATGACTACAGTATTAGCATTCTGGAACATCACAGGTGGGTAAACTAGGGCAGGTAGAGTTGGTAGAAAGCCCTTGCAGAAGGACATGGGGTTTTGAGAGTGAGTGAATTCTTAGTACTTCTTATGAAAAACCTAGTCTACTTTGTCACACCAGTGCTAGTTGAGAACCACTGTGCTAAGACAATCTATGTCCTGACTCAGTATGAAGTGTCCCTATATGTATATATTCTTACACATCAGCAGCATCAGCACCTTGAAACACTAGATACCATTTTCTCCCTGGAAACCATATTAGCAGAGCAAAACCTTGGTCAGTGGAAACCTTCCTTCAACAGGAGGAATAGAAAATTGTGTTATTATTTCTAAACTCAAATGCTAAATACGATTCAACTCATGAGATAGCAAATGCACTTGATTCAGGAATTCTTTTAATTTAGATTTATGCCCATAACACAGCTGTACAACTTCTTCAGTGTAAGAGATTACACATCCTTTCCCAATTCCTATATTTTCCAGGTGACTTGGATTATTACTGGCTGGATCCTGCCACGTGGCACAGTAGGGAGGCATCCCCTCTTAGCTCGGTAAGAAATGTGCATCATAGGCATTTTAGTTATTTTAGTTAAATATTAAAATAAATGTTGTTTTTTGTTCACATCATGGTCATAGATTTTGCCTTTTAAAATATTTCAGTGTAGACAGTAGTTGTGGGCTAGCAACCCATGAAACAAAATGACATCTTGATTATTTACTAGCATTTTTTAATTCTTTCAATTGATAGGGAAAATCCTATATTCTAATTATTGTTTTAAGGGTGGGGGAAAATTCTCATTGCTGCTCGTTCTTGCAAAAAACAGAGCCAGAGCCAATAAACTATGTTTAAGGGTAAGGATCTGTGAACTTTAGCTTGGAGGGGAAGGCTCCTGTTCATAGCAGGCTTTAAATGCAGCGGAGTCTTGCTGGCGGATACAGAAACAACAGCTTGTGGGATGCTCCTGGTAGTGGAAGAAGAGTGAACTTTAGCTGATCTCCCATTCCCTCAACAGAATATCCCTTTTCTAAAGGTTAGGGAGGGGAGAGAAAGGTCTCAGAAAGGAAGGAGAAATCAACAAAAGGTAAGTCTTCATCTACCAGCAGGAGCATCCAGTAACTAGATCCTGGCTCACAAGTTGGTCCCGCTGATCAGAGGAAACACAGAATCTAAGTGGAGTATTGTAACGAACAGGGGAAAGGACTTAGCAATATTAATGATGAACTGTGATTTCCTGTATCTTATTTAGACCCTGTAGTTAACACAGGGCTTCATAGCATCTCTCTCTGCTTTCATCTCTCCAGTTCAAATGCACTTTATCTACCATCTATATTCCTGCTATGTGCAAGACAATTTTCACTGGCATTCTTGAGAAACATCCAAAAATGAAACAAACAAGCAGAAAGAATATGTCTTGCTGAATCTTTGTTTGGCCACCGGCTGTCTCTGGTGGGCTGAAGTAGTAGGGTTCAAAGTTGTATAGTCTGCATTAACCTTTTTCTGTCCTAGACAGAATACAAAGCAGGGGTATGATTTTTACAAGAATAAAATTATCTCATTATTGTAAGCATTCAAAATGTTAAAGACAATTAAAAAATGGATACCCAATACCTTTACACAGAGAAGAAGAAAAATATTTTTTAAAAAAATTCTAAAATATGGATTGGAAGTATTTCTGCTACCATGTGGCTGTTTCACAGTTTTGGTGTATGTGTGTAAAACAAGATGATCTTATCTGTCTTTTTTTTTTTCAATCTTTCACTCTGTTTTCAAAGCATCCTGTAACGTGGCAGCCATCTAAAGAGGGAGATCGTCTAATTGGTCGTGTCATTCTCAACAAGAGAACAACTATGCCAAAAGAGTCAGGTTCATTGTTAGGACTTAAAGTAAGTACTGCAAATGGTGTGCTCTACGTTTTTACTTTATTTCAATTTATCCTATACCAGCTGAGCATTTTAAGTGGGTAAGCTTCCATGGGTTGGGTAAAAGAAGTAAGCAGTGAACGATGCTTCCTCCTGGCTACACTTATCTCTGGGTTCTAGAGGTAGAAATTAAACAGGTCCACGTGCCCCCTACAGTATGACTGGTAAAATGGAAACATAATCCATGTTACTTACTTCAGATTTTGCAAGGTTTATATGGTATTCATTATATTGATGTTATGATTAGAAAGCCTTAGTTGGTGAAGTCCACATTTTAAATTTCCCAATTTTTAAATATATGTGTGCATTGTGTCTATTTCCCATCTTAGGTAAGTTTTGGTATGTTCTGAAAACCTGAAACACTCTTTTCCTTAGGTTGTAGGAGGAAAAATGACTGAATTAGGAAGACTTGGTGCCTTCATTACCAAAGTAAAGAAAGGTAGCTTGGCTGATGTGGTGGGACATCTAAGAGCAGGTAACCGTGTTACTAAAAGAAATGTTTATTAATGTTGTGCAAAACCAGTACTGTGACTTTTCCCACATGAGATGAATTTACACTTTCAAGGCATGCAGTTTTCACAGAGCTTGTCTTCGCAACCTGTTTTGGAGCAGGCTATTGGGGGCTAAGCAGGGTTGCTTGGGATCAAGTAGAAATCCGATATGCCATTCGGTGTGATCCTTGCATCTAAACTCCATGCCAGAACTCAAGCAACTTTATTTGATCCAGCTCCTTCTGTTGGGAATTTCCCATGTTGTGAAGTAGCTGAAGAAGACAGCTGGTTCACAATATTGCTGAATTAAACACTTTCTCTGCTCCCCAGAGGGGCAGAGGAAGTTGATTTTTAAAAAAGATTGTATTAGGGCAAAGCAAACACCAGTGGTGGATTCAGCTGTGAGTAGATTCTTGACCTGAGCTGTAAGAAAAAAGGAAAAGGAAAAAGGAAATCTCCCTCTCGTGCCCTTCCTGTGTCCTCTCACCTCCTGGAGGAAGTTTATTTTTTAAAAAAAATTGTAAGTGATGTAGTGCATCTGCTCAGCCCTAATACAAACTTTTTAAAAATTCAGTTCCTCTGCCCCTCTGCTGAGCAGAGGAAGTGTTTAATTTGCCAATATCGTGATGTGGCTGGTCTCATTAACAATCAAGCAATACATCATCCTGCTTCACCTGCATGCTGTAAGTCATTACATTGGTTTTCTCTACTACACTCCTGCCTCTGCACTACATTTACAATATTAAAATTTAACTCTCTGTTCATAAACAGAACCAAATCCTGACAAAAACATCTGAGGAAATGTTTAACACAAAGTTGATCTAGTCCCTATTATCCATCTTAAACGGAACTGCCTTTAGGCATGACTATATCATATACATACCCAATATGTGTATGATACATTCAGCATATTATAATGTATCAGCATATGATACATTCAGCTTATTACATATGCTGAAATTGACCAATTCTATGAAGAATATGATACATTCAGCATATTACAATGTATCAGCTTATGATACATTCAGCATATTACATATGCTGAAATTGATCAATTCTATGAAGATTTGCAACACCTTCTAGAACTGACACCAAAGAAAGATGTTCTTCTCATTATAGAGCCTCGTGGCAGAGTGGTTAAAGCTGTACTGTAGCCAAACTGTGCTCACGACCTGGGGTTCAATCCCAGGTAGCCGGCTCAAGGTTGACTCAGCCTTCTATCCTTCTGAAGTCAGTAAAATGAGTACCCAGCTTGCTGGGGGGGGGGCAATGTGTAGCCTGCATAATTAACTTGTAAACCGCCCAGAGAGGGCTTGAAGCGCTATGGGGCGGTATATAAGCAGCACGCTTTGCTTTTTACTTTATAGGGGACTGGAATGCTAAAGTAGGGAGTCAAGAGATAAAAGGAACAACAGGAAAGTTTGGCCTTGGAGTTCAAAACCAAGCGGGGCAAAGGCTAATCGAGTTTTGTCAAGAGAACAAGGTGGTCATCACAAACACTCTTTTCCAACAACACAAGAGGTGACTCTACACGTGGACATCATCAGATGGGCAGTACCGAAATCAGATTGATTATATTCTCTGCTGCCAAAGATGGAGAAGCTCGATACAGGACCTGGAGCTGATTGTTGCTCTGATCTTTGACTTATAGCAAAACGCAAGCTTAAACTGAAGAAAGTAGGAAAAACCATTGGGCTAGTCAGGTATTATCTAAACCAAATCCCTTATGAATACACAGTGGAAGTCAAGAACAGATTTAAGAAACTATATTTGGTGGACAGACTGCCTGAAGAACTATGGATGGAGGCTTGTAACACTGTACAGG